ATTATCTTAAATTGTTTATCAAATGCAACCAACTATTTTACATCTGTGTCTTCACCTCTATATTTCCTAGACCTTCTAGTCAGGTCAGGCCTGATAGAATAATTCTCAAAGGGGAGACTCATTTTTCGGCTACCTGGGATCATAACAGTTGGCAGTTTTCCTCTTGCCGCTTCCGGCAAAGGGACCTCTGCCCGACACTGGTGCGGCTCCCTCCTCGTTGGCACACTGTCGCCTCGGGTCTGCCACACTCGCCAGCCGCTGCCTTAACACAGGTAGTAGATATATATGTGCTGGCCTATAGCCTAACCTACTCCTAAGACACTCGGAAACACGCTACTGTTTGTATAGTAATAATGGCCCAAACTCGCTTAGTTCTCAAGGGACAATGGGAGGGAAATAATGATCTACCTTATCACATCCTGTTACAAAACGCCTGAACTCCAGTGGTCATAATGGTCCTCGGTTCCTGGGTCGTCCCTTGTGGTTCAGGTCGAGAATCATAGGTCCACGGGCGTCGTGTAGATACACGTCTTTTCCGTTATCACTCCTGGAATTGCAGTCGCTCCCACTGGCCCGGCCAGCAGTTCCTGCGCAAGTCGTCTCCCTCACTGGTGTCCTCAAGTCTTGGTGGGAAGCTGATATATCCGCCGCCATGCTGTATGTGGACTGGTCCCAGTGAACCTTCACTAAGACCAGTCCTCATAGGTCCGGACATGATGCTTCCCTTCCATTCACCAGTGCATGTGACCCAGTCACTAGCAGCTCTGCGTTGGGTTGGGGCCCACTGGCGGAGTACCACTTAATGCTCCCGCCGCATCGCCATTCCCACTTCCCTCCAAGACTAACAACGCACAGTCCTCGGCGCCCTTACACCGTTGAAACTCGGCTTCCTCGTACTCCCTGAAGTATAGTAGTCTTCTGTAGTAACTATGCATATGCACTACTGCATATATCCACTGGGCAAGGCTCCTAAACCTCCAAACTCGAGAGCCCCTTTATCGCACGTCTGCTCTCTGCGAAAGGCTGTGTAAATCTGAGCGCCCGGCACTCTCCAAGCCCTCAGGTGCCGCCTGCCCAGTGACATCACAACCCAAGGGATGGCCCCCTATTGGTCAGCTTCGGCACGTGACCTGGACAAGCCAATCGCCAAGCTGCTGGTGCCCTCAAGTTCTGGTGGGAAGCTGATATATTCGCCGCCACGCTGTATACCTAAAGGGGGTAAGCCCCTTTGTAAGAACATTTTTAATCTCGGCGTTTTCTCCTCAAATACGTACTCTCGCCACTCGTCACTCATACCAAAAGAATCCCTGCATCTCAGGGTACATGCAGGACGTAGAGATATGACTCTTCTTGCTGGCTAAGGAAAGATATGGGAGAGGGCACTGTAACAGTGTACATGTATCGTTATGTGTACATGTATCACTATGAGTACATATTTTATTATGTGAACAAGTATCATTATGTGTAAAAGTATCATTATGTGTACATATATCATTATGTGTACATATATCATGATGTTTAAATGTATCATTATGTTTTCATGTATCATTATGTTTTCATGTATCATTATGTTTTCATGTATCATTATGTTTTCATGTATCATTATGTTTTCATGTATCATTATGTTTTCATGTATCATTATGTTTTCATGTATCATTATGTTTTCATGTATCATTATATGTACATGTAACATTATATGTACATGTATCATATGTGTACATCAATCATTATGTTTACATGTATCATTATGTATTCATTGTTATGATCCAGATATCTGTTAAATGAATAACTGACTTTTAACATATGTAGATAAAAATATGAAGGTAAGATAGAAAATAGAACAGCCTGCCTGACACAAACTGAACGAACCTTCTTGATATTTTTTTTTTCAAATTTTGTTCAATTTTTGCTATTTTTAATTTTTTTATTTTTTTATAGAAAATGGAGCAGCCTACCTGACATACACTGAACAAACCTTTTTGACATTTGACATTTCTTTCAAATTCTTTCAATTTATATTTTTGTATTTTTTCATTTATATATTTTTTATAGAAAATGGAGCAACCTTCTTGATATACACTGAATGAACCATTTTGACCTTTTTTCAGATTCTTTCAATTTTTTTTATCTTTTCATTTTTTTTTTACAGAAAATGGAGGAGCCTACCTGACATACATTGAACGAACCTTTTTGACATTTTTTTCAAATGTTTAAAAAACTAAATCTAAACATCAGGCAGTGATGACTTCTCTAGGGGTACACTCTCTGGCACGTTTTGCCTGCATACCACTAGGACCTACTTGTGGCTCCCTGCTCTTCTCGCTAAAAACCTGTCTAGTGACACTTGTTTTTCCCCTACGTTGTAGCACTTGTCTGAAGTGAGACATCACAATGTCATTAAAAATTTTAGGTTAATACAACAACCAACTACAGCTTGCTTTTGTTGAATTAATTACAACTTACCAACATCCTCAAGTGTTTGTGTTCTTTGCTTCGTGATTGTTGATACGCCTTTCGCCACTTTAGCACTCATAATGTCCTTTTTCTTAGCAATGTGCATATCGTTGACATAGATTTGTTGTACTGCCTTGCTAGTTCAACAACCTGTGTACCATTTTCATGTTTACGAATGATCTCTTGTTTTTCCTCGATGGTCATTCTCATATGATTTCTTGGCTTGAACCTTACCACTGGCTTTCTTGGGAGCCATGGTGACATAAATAACTAACTTTTATGTTCAAATAGCCAAAAATCCGAAAAAACTAAAATTCTTTACAAAGCATTCAGGCGCGATAGTTACTGGGCGGGAGGCACTGGTAAACTGAGGCACGATCGTCGTGCCACCATGTGCTAGGTCGGCCATACACTTATCAACAAACTTCGTTTCCCTAGGCAAAGTTCGTAACCCGATTCAAATTTTCGAAGAAATCGGGCATGTAACCCGAAAAGTTTGTAAAGAGGGGCATCTGTAAGGCGAGGTACCACTGTAGTAGGACGCATCCATTTATTGAAGTCTATTGTTGTAGATGAGGGACGAGAGTGTGATTGATGTAATTTGTATGTAATGGCTTGTATTAGATGTTTAGTATGATGAAATGTGAGGGCGCGCAAGAGCGACCCTTTTGTAGTTAAGTGGTATTGTTGGCCTCCTCTGGCCATCGGCTGAGGCGTGGCGGTATGTTGGAGATCAGGCGATACCAACTGTATCGTACTGGTAGACATGCTTGAGAACTTTGCTGGATGTTTCATTGGCCAAGAGCAGTTTTGTAGATCTCTGGAGTTATTCATTTAAGTGGGTAAATACAATATTTATGTAAATAAATACATAAATGCTTAAATACAAGTAAATTTACCTTCTATGTAATATTCATTCTTTATGTTGAATTTCCATGCTTATGTGAAAGCGTGAATCAACTCTCACATCAGTTGTTCATGCGGTTCCTGTTGCCATTCACGTCGTGTTTCATTTACAGAAATCGTGTGTACCTGTTAGTATTCAGTTAGGAGCCTACAATAGGTAGTGCTTATGTATATAGCCATCACCTGTGAGGGTGAGTCTTGGTTAGCTTCCTTAGTCGTGGTTAGGAGTATAATTTATTCAAGTCTGTAATTAACTTGGCACGAGGTAAGCCTGCCACCTGATGTAGGAGGGAGACTTAAGTTTAAGTACGATGTAAGTTCTTATATCAGATTCGTATATGTTTAACCAGTAATTACCAGCTTTGTGCAACTCAGCAGTTTCTAAGTAAATGAATGGTCATTTGAGAGATATGGAAAAGTTATGTTTAGTAGTGGGTTAACAGTTCCCGTGGTGTAGTTGGTAAGACCCACGCCTGGCGTTTCGCGAGCGCTATGTCCTGGGTTGGTATCCTGGCCAGGGAAGATTTACTGGGGGGCAATCCTTAACTGTAGCCTCTGTTCACCCAACAGTAAAAAGGGTACCTGGTTGTTAAACGATTCAGTGAGGTCGTATTCTGGGGAACATAGGATTAAGGACATGCCCAAAACACTATGCGTGCTAGTGGTTGTACAAGAATATAAGAACTCTTGTATATATAAATAAATATATTAACAAAACTAGGCTTACGGGTCGGACGAATTCGTCCGAACGCGGGGCTGCCTGTACACGGGCGGGGCTTCGCCAGTCATACAAGGGACGTGAGGCAGAGAGCACCTAGTTTGTATTGTCTGTGAGAGCAACAACTCACTCATTTAAGTTAAGTAATGTATTATTCAGTTGTAACTAAGATAGTTAAGAAGGTACGATCGAGTATGGTACAATGGAATGTTAGTCATTTAATTTGTGATTATTTGTGTTTACCTAACTCTGGCCCTAATTCCTGGACAGGTCACGTTTTTGTTTCATGAGTCTGTATGATTGAGGATTAACTGTATGTCGTGTTTAATACATTACTTTAAAATGTCGAGTTACGCTTTAAATTGTCCTTCTCAGCCGTTTTCTGGTCCACGGAGAGTGTGAGTGGGGGGGGGGGGGTCTTCAGCAGGGACAACTCAACTATTCTTGAGCCTATGTAAACGACACGTAACATACATGTATCATTATGTGTGCATGTATAATGTGTACAAGTGTCATTATGTGTGTACATGTATAATTATGTTTACATGTATCATTATGTGTACTTGTATCATTATGTATACATGCATTATTATATATATCTCTAACTGCCAAAACACATTTAATTTAAAAAAAACATCTGGTTACATAGCATTTAACAGGTCACTTAATTTTCTTAAAGCATAATTCTAAGTATTTTTAACGCAGTTTTATACTCTAAATTAGCTGGTAACCTTGATTTTAGGATGACGAAAACAGTGGATACTACGTAACATACATTTTAACATTAGAAGTTGTTTAGTGTGTTAAATAAAATAGATTATGAGTTTTCCCTAACTCTTGTGTGACTGTAATCTGTAACTTGTGAGAGACCTGGAAAGGTACAATAGCAGGTCTGATGCGGGTCCCAGACACTTCAACTTACGAGAAGTTGAGAGCCTTGGCCAGGTAGGATACCAGGTAAGCCATGGGTCCTGAAAATTCTACCATCCTTCCCTGACGGGCTTGAGTTTCCACCTGGGTAACCATGGTCATCAGTGGAGTTGTCTCCGCCGCCAGCTTTAGAGTCGGTCGCTCAGGAAATCTAACAATAAAACAAATTGTTTTAAGCTTGTTGATTGTAACATGTCAGTAAACAGCTTTTTACCAAATTATAAGTAATCAAGCATCATTGATAACGATATATATATTACTTTTTTAAATCAGGACCTGCTGTTATGAGCGTAGATTGTTAATTATCTGTGCAATGTATTCAGCTGTAGATTGGCAGATATTATCTGTATATGTATAAATATGTGTACATGTATCATGTACACATATATATACTTGTAATTTGCACAGCTTTAATGTAATTTGGATACATGTGTTCCTAACAGTTTAACTTATATAGAAGTCTAATGTACATGGACAAAGACATTGATCACCGTGATCACTGGCCACCGAGTGCTGTCGGGTGCTGGGTAAATAGTCTCAGACTACAAACACTTTTGTGCAGTCGGTCGTGGTCCATTGGTTATGGTACTGGGCATGCTAGCGTGTTTAGAGCACCTGCCTGCCTGAGGTTCGAAACCCTTAACAAGGAGTTTCTCAAATACATTTGGTTTGGGGACCATTCAAGCTTGTCATACATTTGAGGATTGTGTTTTCCTCATATAGTGAATTGATTTGATGAAAATTATCTGTGATATCTGGCCATTAGGTGCTGTTGTGTGTCGTGTAAATAGTGTCCGACTACCAACACTTTTGTTCAGTGGGTCGTGGACCATTGTTATGGTACTGGACATACTAGTGCGTTTGGAGTGAATGGCTGTCTGAGGTTTTATATATATATATATATATATATATATATATATATATATATATATATATATATATATATATATATATGTCGTACCTAGTAGCCAGAACTCACTTCTCAGCCTACTATTCAAGGCCCGATTTGCCTAATAAGCCAAGTTTTCCTGAATTAATATATATATATATATATATATATATATATATATATATATATATATATATATATATATATATATATATATTGTGACGGTAACGCGTTGGTGTTCGGCTGTTTAAGGCTAGGGGTATGGCCTCGTCACATAGTTATAAAAAAAATAGAAAAAACTGGAACTTCGTCTGTGGTAAGGTAAGGAGAAGACACACAAAACACAAGTAAAACTTTAACAATGAAATTTTAATTACGTTAAATAAATCAAAACATGAAAATAATGCACAAACAAATTCTTATAATAAAATCAATGAATCAAAATAATAAGAATACTTAAATGACACAATGAAAAGTTACGTTAAGGCAAAATAACAAGTGCAATACAAAAGTTAAGTGGGAGGTGCTGGAATATTGGCTTAAAGCCACCACCTCTCTCAGTACACGCTAGAGTCTAGCTGGGAGGTGTGATGGCCACGAAAGCACTGAACATTCTGAGGACTGATGTTGGGGCGACCCCAGACATCAGGTAGTATTGGGGGCGAGTGCAGGTGCAGCCAGACCGGCGACCAATCAGCGGAGCCGTAGCGATCAACGGGTAGTTTGGTGGTTGGAGTTCGAACAGGTGGCTGGCTGCATACGTTTTTGCTCACCCTGGCAAGCCTTGCTGGTGTTGTTGTCGTTGTTGGACATTTCTTCCATAGTCTTTTTATATAATTGTGAAGACGTAATTATGGAGGGAAGAGCAGGCTCAATCTCTTGAAGGAGATTATCGTCACAACTCTCCCCCGAAGCCTGCGGTTCTGGAAGAAGTACGTCGTTATGTGGTGGAGTAATGGATGGAGTTGCTTCTACTTCATAAACTCTGGAGAGATCATGGGCTAAGATGTTGTCAGACTCTTGGTATAGCGTGTCTCCAGGTTGAATTTCTGCAGTTAGCAAGCCCATAGTAGAAGACGTTGAGATGAGAAGTGGGCGTGCTGCAGGAGGTGTAGGGTGGTGTGGTCCGTATTGATGGTGGACCGAGCACTTTTCAGGTGTGGAGTGAAGTGCTGAAGCTTCAGGATGAGGAAGAGTAGCTCCTTGCCAATTGTTCCGTCGTTCCTTGTAGCAGTAGTCGCTGACAGGTGTATTCTTCTCGCCTCGTTGCTGCATCACGACACCACCATCGTCGGTACCATTGGCGTCGACATGGAGGATGTAGGGCTTATCTGACGAGGTGAGAGTGGAATTAGAAGAGGGCATAGGAGCACGAGTATTATCCTGAAAGCATTTGGGAAGATCATTAAGGATTTTGGAATTAGAAAGCGCCGACTCCTTGTCAGTGCTTTCGGGAGAAGAAGCCGGGATGGTCTCACTGTGGATGTAGGGTTCTGTGAAGGTAGAACAATTAATCAAGACAGTGGGAGGAGTACCATTATATTGCTTCAGGAGGTTGACGTGGCACAGCTGGGTCTTCCGCCGCCTATCTGGAGTCTCTATGACGTATGTGTTGTTGTTTCTGCACTCTTTGACGCAGTAGGGTCCTGAAAATTTGTTTTGTAAAGGTGAACCTGGGATAGGAAAATAGGCAAGGACGAAGTCTCCCGGCTTGAATTTTCTTACTTTGCTGGTCTGGTCGTAATGAGTCTTCATTCTCACCTGGGCTTTCAATAGATTATCATGGGCAAAGCGGTGGACTCTCTCTAGAATGTGTTGAAGGTTTTGAAGAAACTGGGGCACATTCTGATGCTCACTGAAGGTGGCATCTCTGAGAGAGTCTTTGAAAGCCTTAAGGGGAGTACGGCACTTACGGCCGTAGAGCATCTCATAAGGAGATACTCCTAGGGACTCATTGGGGAGACTTCTGAAAATACACATTATTAGGTCAATCTGCTTATCCCAATCCTTTGAGGTTTCACTACAAAACTTTTTCAAGAGTGCTTTGATGGTCTGATGACTACGTTCAAGAGAACCCTGTGAAGCAGGATGATAGGGGCTGGACAATACCTGTTTGATGTTGAACTCCTCCAGTGTCCTTTTGAAGAGATCACTGGTGAAGTTGGTGCCACAGTCACTTTGAATCTCCCTGGGAAATCCGTATTGAGTGAAGATCTTCAATAGATGTTTGATAACCGTAGCAGCCGTGATGTTCTTCACTGGAACTGCTATGGGAAATCTGGTGGTAGGACACAGGATGGTTAGGATGTAGGCGTTACCTGAACTGGTCCGAGGTAAAGGACCAACACAGTCTATTATGAGTCTGTGGAAAGGTTCCGCAGGCACCTGTATGGGAATCAGTGGTGCTCTGGGAATGGAGACGTTCGGTTTGCCTGCCATCTGACATGTATGACACTGTTTTACGTACTGTTTGACGTTATTTACCATACCTGGCCAGTAGTAGTCTTGGCGAATCCCATGGTAAGTCTTGTTGAAGCCGTAGTGGGAGAATGCTCCGTGGGCCAGGTGTAGAATAGTGGGCCGCAGGCTGGTGGGAATCACAAGTTGTTCGATGTTGGCCCAATCGTCCTCCTCCTTCAGTTTACTGGGTCTATATCTGCGGTAGAGCAAGTCGTTCTCTAGGAAGAACCCAGGAATACTGTCGGGTTGAGTCTCAGCCTGGAAAAACAATGGTGTTAAAGTAAGATCTTCCCTCTGCAACTTACGGAACTCCAACTTGGTCAGATGCGGGGGTAGTTTCTGAGGGTCTTGAGGGACAGCGGTAGCAGTAGAGTCAGCTGGCTGTGGACGTGCGGCTTGTGCACGGGTGGTCACGAGAACCGGAGGAGAAACTTCATCACTCTCTTGAACCTCTGCTGGAACATACTCAAGAATAGGATTTATTGGCACAGAGTTACACACCTGGGGTTTGTCCATGACGATCAGGTTGGTCGGTTGCAGGTCTTCTGCCAAGTCGTTGCCTAGGAGAAGTTGCACTCCAGGCATGGGAAAAGGCTTTTCCCTGACGGCGACTTGGACTTCCCCGTTCACGTAGGGACAATCCAGGTGGACTCTGGCGAGAGGGTATGGAGTGGTAGCAGTGAGGTCAGTGATGAAGACTGTTTCCCCGGTGTAGACTATGTTGGGCACAGCCGACTTCAAGATGATCGATTGTAGAGCCGCTGTGTCCCTCAAGATCTTCAATTTGAAACGTCCCTCCGGATTTGAACCGTTGGCAGAGACAGTTCCAGTATACAGGTGGTTACTGAAAAGAGAAAGATCATTAACATCAACACCAACATTCATCACAGGCTTACCGGACTTAGGAGGAGTTGGTTTGGGTCGTTGTGGGTCAGTGGTTCCCTTGTATTGAGACTTACCACACTTGTCTATGGTATGTCCATAGAGTCTACAATACTTGCAGTACAGTTGTGAACCAGCTTGATCGGGGCTCACCTTCTCGTAACTGTACCACGACTTCTTACTGGAGGATGGTTCAGGTGTCAGCCGGTGGATGAGGCTGTAAGTGTCAGCCGACTTAGCACACTTCAGGTAGTCGGTTTCTTCTTTATCTGCTAAGTAGAGGCGGACAGGAGGCGGCACACGTCTCAAGAATTCTTCAACAAGCATCAGGTTGACGAGTTCTGTAAAAGTAGAGACATGTGCTGCTTCCAGCCATTTCATGAAATACCTCCGTTTCGTGTTAGCAAACTCGAGGAAGGTAGTGGTACTTGCCTTCAGGTGGTCACGGAATTTCCTTCTATAACTTTCAGTAGAGAGGAGGTAGGCGTCCAACACTGCTTGTTTCAGAGTGTAGTAGTCATTCTCAGACGCCAAAGTACTGAGTGTGACTGCAGCTCTACCTGTAAGATGGACTCTGAGAAGTGTGGCCCATTGGTCGACAGGCCAACTGAGTTGATTAGCAAGGGTTTCAAAGGTGGTGAAAAAAACATCAACTTCTGCTTCTACAAAGGATGGCATTAACTTACTTGCATGTGATATATTAAAACTGACGGGAAGATTGGCAGTAGCTTGCTGGCGTTGAGCGAGGTGTGAAGTTTCCAACGTGTATTCCCGTTGACGACACTCAAGAGCCAGAGTCGCTTGTTGCTTGTCATGTTCACGTTGCATTTCCAACTCGCGTTGTTTGGTTTCAAGCCGTATGCGTTCCCGCTCCTGGAGTAAGGCAATCTCACGTTCTTGTTCTTCCCTTCGTATGGCAG